AGGCGTCCAATTCAGAGATTCTAAAATTATGAAAAGGGAAAAAAGAGGTAGTTACGATTACAACAAAATTTCCGATACAAACATAATTGCAGTAAAATGGCATGACAATAATTTAGTAACACGCCGCAGGATTGCAACCAATTCGCTTTGTAAAAAATTTTTCAGGTAAGAAACACAATCTGCAAGAAAATCAATGTTTTCAAAAATGCTTTGATTTTAGGTAGAACAGCCTCATCTTGTAAATGTATACAACGCAAATATGGGCGGCGTTGATGGTTGTGATCAAAATATTGGTCTGTATCGCATTACGATCCGGGGTTAAAAGAGGTATTTTGCACTGATCAGCCACTGTATTGATATGGCTGTTCATAATTCCTGGCAACTTTATAGATTGCGCGGGGGACATATGGATCAATTATTATTTAGATGGCGGCTTGCCACAGCCTTGTTACAACAAAACAAGAAACCGCCATTTTTTTCTAGAGGACGTCCTTCAGGTAATGAATATATAGATATTCGTTATGATCGTTTAGACCATTTTGTGATACCACAAGAATAGCCAACTGGATGTGGCTTATGTCATGATAGAGCAAAAACAAGGTGCTCTAAGTGCAATGTAGGGATGCATGTAAAATGTTTTTATCCTTCCATACTAAACCTTAATATTCGCCTATGTGCCTAGTGTATTTTGTACGGCATTTTTTTACACTTTTTCCTAAAATAAAATTTAAAACATAATAAATTTGTTTAATATATGCTTCATATAGAATGCATTTGCAGAGAACATACTTTATTATAATTTATTTGAGCTGTAGGCATATCTGGCTTAACTATGTTTTGTCAACAATACGGCCGGTACGGACCCGTGTTCCTCAGGCATCGGTCCTAGGACATCTTTTATTCGCTTTCTATCCATGATGTCCCTTGCCCCAACAACTGTAAAGTCTACCTCTATGCTGACGACACTGCACTTGTCGCCCAGTCGTGTACTGGTGATCTGGTTCACAATGGGCTGCAGAGTTCGGTGGACGAAGTACTAGAGTGGGCGGAACGGCGGCTGATTAAAATTAATCAATCGAAAACGCAGGCTATTTATTGTACCAAAAAACGTCGCGGCCCCCCAGCAGAGGTTTCCGTAGACGGCAATCATATACCATGGACCAGTTTTGTCAGGTACCTCGGTGTCTCCCTCGATAAAGGCATGACCTGGCAAAAATATACAGCAGCCTTGAAAACAAAATTCCAAATTGCGTTTCGGCAACTATATCCTTTATTATGTAGATCCTCCAAATTGAGTTTGATAAACAAAGTTCGCCTATATAAAATGATTATTAGACCAGCAATTACTTATGCATGTGCGGCTTGGTGTTTTCTTGCCAAAACGTCCATGCAAGTAGAACTTTGCGAACAATTTGCAACGCTCCATAGTATGTCTCAAACGAGAGACTGCACTGAGACCTTGACATTCCTTACTTGAGGGATTATGTCAAGCTTCAGGTGCAGCGACGCTATAGTCAAGCGAAATCGCACAGCAATCCTCTGTTGCGCGACACAGTGGACTACACAGTGGAGCAACCTCATAAGCATTCAAGGCCACGGCTCGCACTGTAATAAAAAATTAGCGCGAACTTTTATATATATATATATATACAGCTATAAAACAGGCCTTTGGGCCATAAGCTGCTTTTTTTCTTTATACTCCAACTACCACGAAGGCCTAAGGCCTAAACACCCATTAGGTACCGTGGGGCTATAGGGGGATACAGGGGAAAGGGGGAACGCCACACGGACTCTGGCGAGGGAACACGTGTGCATGCAACATGCACACATTCTGGCTCCGCCTACGAGATCCGCCGGGTGGTACCTCCCCGTTCGACAGTCAGAGACCGTCTACCACCTACGGACAATCACAACATCCATAGCCAAGAGAAAAATTTCTCCTGGGATGGGACTCGAACCCGCACAGCGCACGGCGACTGATCAGGAGACCGAAGAGTCTACTACTCTGCTCCTCAAATCTTCCATAACCGCATCCTTCCATCTTCCTCTCGGTCTCCCTCTTTTCTTCTTGGTAACCGGAACTCTCCATGCTATATGCTTTACTGTTCTTTCTTGAGGCATTCTTTCCAGGTGCCCCAGCCACTGCAATCTTCTGGTCCTAGCTACTTCTATTATGTTTGGTCCATTATGTAGATGATAGATTTCAGCATTAGACCTTCTAAAATACCCTCCCTCCATATATTCTCCTTAAAATTTTCCTCTCCCACCTAAGTAATGTTTGTTCAAGTTTTTTATTAACTACCCAGATTTCTACTCCATACAAAAGGGTTGGCTTGATGATCGTATTGTATAGCCTTATTTTGGAGGCGCTAGATACATTTCTGGACTTAACATTTCCGTTAAGCATTCCCGCACATTTATTCGCCTTACTGATTCTGTAGTTTACTTCTGTTTCCTCATTTATTTTATTACTAGTTAGACATCCTAAATAGACAAACTCATCCACCTCCTTAAAAATCTTTTTTCCAGTGCTTACCGTTATTTCTAGCCTCGTTTCCGTCTGAAAGGTCCTTATTCTCATAAATTTACTTTTTTCCTCGTTTAACTTCAATCCCGTTTTTGCTGCAACTTGTATATACTGCTCTACCACTTTTTCCATTGTCCTTTTATCTCTAGCTATTATGGCGACATCATCAGCATGGGCAGTTAGTTGGTGACTTTTAAATAATATACTTCCTGATCTATTCAGCTGACTTTCAATAACGATTCTTTCTAGGATCATATTAAATAAAAGTGTAGATAATGGGTCCGCCTGTCTGAGTCCTGTATTAATCCCGAACTCTTCTGTCAATTCTCCTCTTATCTTGACCATACTTCTTGTTTGTCTCATCGTCATTCTTGTGAGGTTAATGAGTTTTCCAGGTATACGAAAATAATTCATTGTATTAAATACTGCACTTCCTTCTGATCGTGTCGTAGGCTTTTTAGAAGTCAATAAATAATATGATTGCTGGTATTTTATATTCGTAGCAGGTGGTAAGAGCTTCTTTCGTGAAAAAAATTTGATCAGTTGTCGATCTTCCCTTACGAAAACCAGCTTGATAATCTTCCAATTGTATATCTATAATTTTCTGTAGTCTCATTTTAAGTGATGTTGATAAAATTTTTAGCGCGAGCTTTTAGTAAACTTAAAATTACACTCTAACAAAACCGACTCAAAACTGTTTAGATCTCCTCAAAATTAATCCATGTACCAAGTCAAAAAGCCTAGGTGTTTCCTCTTAAACTAAGCTCGTCTGTTTTTCTTCTCTTTCCCTTTATGTTTTTCCTTGACATCGTCTGGTTTCTGGGCAGCCAGGAGTGGCAGATTCGACTAACATACATTAGACCATTGATTCCCAAAGTGGTCTATATCGACCCCTAGGGGTCTATGACAACTTGCAAGGGGTCTACGTCAGCGAAAAAAAATTTGGGGGTCCATGAAATGAATATAGGGGTCCACGATAGTGGATCTCAACACATACACTGATAGTACCTATTTACTTACATCATACTATCTTATAATATCAAAACATATACATTATTTATAAAAGTACCTATGAAGTAAAAAATTATTATATATGTTTATAAAATTGTGCAAGTTGTAGGATATTGGTATTCGCTTTGTGGTCGCAATACATTTTGAACTTGTAAAAACCTGAGAGTCGAAGTCTCAGAGCTTCGCTACCTTGCACTGACTTGTCGTCACTCAATAAATACGAATGTGGGACAAATACGTTTATTCGTTTCCTGAATCTTGAAAAGGAAAGTGCTAAGAAAATATTTTAAAAAATATAAACATATAGTAGATCACACAAATTATAGTGAGTCAGTGTTATTTTGTTTGAGAGTGCTGGAGAAAAGTAAGTACATTTAGTTTTGTACTCGTAGTTAGCAAAGATAGATAAATTACTCCAATCATGACTTTAGTTATTAGTAGTTAAATATTCAATCATGCAAAATTACACGAGTACTCCTCAATAGTTTCTTTTTGAAAGTTTTAACAAATCGGTAATGTAATTACAGTGCAATCTGCGTAATTCGAGCTAATTGTTGCAAGAAGATGTTCGAATTATGGAATGTTTTCGGAAAAATCAAAAAATATTTTTAATATACAGCTACTGGATTTTCTGTCTTATTTAAATAATCTAATTTTGCCCACAGATGACTGATGCCATGTCCGAATCTAAAAAGAAATGTAGACAGTACAGATTATTTGAAATTTGGCTTCATTCCATCATTGCCGGACAAATAATCGCCTATGTGCCTTTTATGCAACAAAGTTTTGGGCAATGACGCTATGAAACCATCTAAGCTGCAAGATCATCTGAGAAGATGCCACCCTGATAAAACAGAAAGATTTGAAATACGTTCAATCACTGAAAGAAATGATGATGGTTTGCGGGCGTCTTACAATATCTCGTTACTTATAGCAAAATCCGGAAAACCGCATACTATCGGAGAGAAGTTAATTTTGCCAGCCGTTGAAGAGGTTTTAAAAACTGTTTTACACAAACCTGCATCTGATATCATTGAAACCCTTTACCGCATCATGTGCCATATATGACCCAAACTACAAAAATAAAAAATATTGTCTCAAATTAAGTTGTATTCCTTTACTGCATACTATGCCATATTTGGAACGTACCCGCTCACACACAGCAAAACGCACACATCGATAGTAGTGCTCAATTACGAGTTATTTCGTGTCAGAGCCTGCCGCGCGCCATTCCTTGCTAGCAGCTGATGGATCCGTTTTGTTTGCAAGTTTTTTGTCTTCTAAAATTAGAAGATCCCCAAAATAAAATTATTGACATTACGGGTGAAGTGTAAGCTATATTATAAGGTAAGTTGTTTTTCATTTGATGTTAATTTAGGAAGTTATGTGTACGATTTTGTGCTTGTGCCATATATGGAACAATATGCAATTATATTTACATTGGTTGCTTTTATTTCCAATTATGGACCCAAAGAAATTTTATGGTACTCTACGATATGCAGCTGATATAGAATCCGATGAGAGTGACGATCCAGATGATTTATCTGGCGACGATGCTGAAAGTGGCGTACATTCAAAAATACAAACCAACCAAAATGATCCAGATTCAGAGTCCGACTATTCATCTGATGATGATTTGCCCCTATCAGAAATTCAAAGATGAATATCGAAGAATATTGAATGGCACGAAGGTAATCTATTCAAAAACGATGACGAAATTCAATTTAGAGGTAATCAGGATCTTCCGGATTCGATTCGTACGCTTGCAACTCCACTAGAATACTTCAAATTCCTTTTCCCAAACGAGCTTATTATTAAGTTACATTATCGAGCAAAGTAATTTGTATAATAACCAGTGTCAACCAGACAAGCCTGTCCACATAAAACATGCTGGGATTGTATAGGATTAGAATTCGATCAAAGAAATGGTATTTACGCATATTTTTTCACATGTTGGATATGTGTTGCGTAAATGCTTGGTTGTTGTGGAGACGCAGCAATAAAGAATTTGATCTACCCCTTAAAGACTTCAAGCTGGCCATCGCTGATTCTTTATCAGACATTATATGCCATGAAAAAGAAACGTGGACCTACCAAAGAAATTCCTTAACAAGAGGTACGTCTTGATGGTATGGACCATTTACCAGAATGGAGTGAACAACAAAGATCAAGATGCAAGTTTCCATTGTGTCAATCTAAATCCCTTGTGTCTTGTACGAAATGCAAAGTTTCCTTGTGTTTTAATAAAGAGCGAAATTGTTTTTTGAGGTACCACACTGAATAAAGGACAATGTTGTTGCATAATGTTCCATGTCACTGTATGTGTTATACAAAATTTTTGTTGGTATTTTTTACATAAATAAAGTATATTTCTCCATTCCTGGGATTTTTTCGATGAAAACAAAAAATTCATGCAGTAAAGGGTTAAAAGAATTCCCTTAAGCAACAATAATGTTGAAAGACGTATTGATGAAATGAGTTCTGATATTGAAAGTTTCTTATGTAACTATTTGCAAACGACCCATTTCTCTATACAACTGGACGAGTCAACTTTACCTGTTAATGCAGCATTATTATTGGGATATGTTCGTTTTATTATGAATCAAGAAATCTACGAAGAACTGCTCTTTGCAAGAACTTTGATAACCGACACTAAAGGTGAATCAATATTTCATGTTTTGAAGGATTACTTCATTGAAAAAGCAATTCCTTTATCAAATATATACGTAATATCAGCAGCTACAGATGGAGCACCTGCCATGGTTGGACGTTATCGTGAATTTATAAGCTATTTAAAACAAAATGTGTCAGGGGTGTTAGGAATACATTGCGTCATCCATCGACAACATTTAGTTGCTAAAAATTTGAGTGTTAGATTGCATGAATCACTTCATTTAGTCATTGATGCAGTAAACCGAATCCGAAGCAACGCGTTGAATACGCGGTTATTTGCGCAGTTGTGTGAAGAATTTGACGAATACTTTCATCAATTACTCCTTCACACTGAAGTACGCTGGCTGTCGAAAGGCTTATGTTTGACAAGATTTTTTGCACTTTTTGAGACTATCTTAGAATTTCTGGATACTAAAGATAAAATTTTAAAAGAAAATTTAATGAAGAGGAAAACAGACATCGCCTATTTAATAGATTTGTTTACAAAATTTAATATGGTTAATTTGCAATTACAAGGCGACAGTTTAAATTTGATTAAAACAAAGTCCATCTTATCAGCGTTTCTTGCCAGAGTTAAACTAATGAAGCAAAATATTGGACGGGGCGAATTTTCTCAGTTCCCCAATTTGTCACAGACAAGCTGCCAGGAAGACGACGTTTCAACTTACGTTCAACATTTTAATGCCCTCTATTCAGATTTTGAATCTAGGTTTGAGGATATTTTGACTATGATAATTAATCCATATGGTGACATATAAGAAACGAATGTCATAATACAAGAGGAACTGACTGAACTAAGTACAAAGGAAGAACTTGAGGTTCAGTTTAAAAACGGATATCAGCAATTCTGGCTGAAAACAACATATCCGTTACTTATCCCGTATTATGGAATATAGCGAGGAAATTTTTAATTTCCATCGTCATACCTAGTGGAAAGGGGGTTCAACGCTGTTACAAATCTCCTAACGAAAAAAAGAAACAGACTGGACATCATTAGCTGAGGAGATTTAAGATTAACCCTCACAAAATTGACGCCAAATGTTGATAATTTATTATTAAAGCATCAGGTTTATCCTTCTCACTAAAAATATTGACTTATTGCTTATGTTATTTTATTTATAGTTTATTTTATGTTTATTGGTGTCTGACCAGTAAATGCCCGCATTGGGAATAAGTGCCCGCATTGATTTTTTTAAAGAACCCCCCTTTATAGAAAATGTTTTTCTTTTAAATTATTCTGAAAATTCAAGGATAGGTACACACTAAAATTCGTTAATTTTCTGCCTATTTTTAGATAACTTAAACGTATAAGAAGCGGAATTTAATCAAACTAACAGTGAAATTATTGTAGAACATACGTTTGTGTTATAATTAATAAACGAACTCGCTTCTTGTACTATTTTAAGTAAAAAACTTTTTTTTTATTATTTTTCACTTTGTTTTTATTTTATCCCTCTTATTTTTTTTTCGATGCGGGCACTTATTCCCAATGCGGGCACTTATTGGTCAGACACCTGTTTATTTAATGTTACGTATATTTTACATAACAGATACAAAATTTTATTTTGAGTAGTTTTAATTTAAATTCAATCAATAAATGTATGAATTAACATGTGTTTTTACTTAAGTTTTTAACACTAAACTTCACTACAGTTAGAAATTTACAGGAAATCAATATCAGGTAAGTAGGGGGTCTACCCAACACGGAAAAACATGGCAAGCGGTCTACGACACAAAAAAGTTTGGGGAACTCTGCATTAGACAGTCACTAATGGGCAAAGGTCGTTGGTCCTGAGCCAGCTCTAGGAGTGACCGCGCATAAAGCTAGGAGGAAAATGGAGACGTGGGTTGCAAGACAACACTCTCAGAAATGGAGAAGTATCTCCAGACATCTCCGCCAGGCACGAGAACTCATTGAAGGGCACAGTGCTAAGGATGGATAGAGCCAACCTAAGGTTGCTGGTGGGACTGGTGTCTGGACATAACACGTTAAGGCGTCACCTGCACGTGATGGGGGTGGCTGAGGATCCCTTGTGTGAACACTGCGGAGTAGAGGAAGAGACCTCGGCGCACGTGAAGCTTTAAGCTACTATAGGCAGACTATACTGGGGTCCATTACTTTGGACCCTCAGGACGTCAAGGAGCTTGGACTCAAGGCGATTCTCAACTTCGCTAAAAGGGCGAGGCTTGTGATCTAAGGATTTTAGAGGTGCATAAGGGCCCGCTTAAGCGGCCTATGCACTGGCTCCTTATGGTGGCCGGAATGCCTCTAATTTCAAGTTTCATTCATTCATTCAATGGGCAGAGGTCCTACGGACCGCCCAGACAAACAAATGACGAATACTAGTAACAACTAAAATTGTATACTTGCATACAACAGTGTATGTTGCTTAATATACGCAGTACGCCCATCACTGCTAACCAAAGGTCGTCAGTCGAAATTCCTTGGGTGTGTACGAGCGCTCCGAAAGATGAGAAGCACGCCCGCAAGAGCAAATTGACGCGAATTCACGGCGAGTTGATGTGAATGGGTTCATTCGGGCCTTCATTTATTGGATCTGAAGGGTGTTTTTAACGCCACCCGGACCCTCGCTCCACACTCCAGCTCCCGGACACACGGAACTTTGACGTCGCCTCGGACGTCCCGCTTTGTGTCTAGTCCGGTCAACAGGATGCAGAATTATGAAAGTGAAACTCTCCATCGTTTATTGTACTCTACCAGGAAATCTGTCAAAGTGACGTGAATCATCCTTCTCCTCCTCTGTTGCCAACACTTGAAGCTACATATCTAATTCAAATTCAAATTCGAATACAAAATATTTATTTCGTCATGAATAAACATCACAAACATATAGAGCGATGACGAAAAAGGTCGATTATAAAACCGATACATTGGACCCTTTAATACAAAGAGTCCATGCAAGAAAGCCCTGAACACCCTAAAATTCCTTAAACAAAATAAAAAAACAACAATAAGGAGGCAAATGAAGAGGCGGTGAAACACAGAAAGGCAAAAACGACGAAAGAACCCCCGGGAGCTGGCAACGGACGCGAAGAACAAATCTGTACCACTTGTCAGCGAGTAGGAATGTAAAAACGATATTTTTGCTCACACAAACACTGCTAAAGTAGCTGGTGATTCTGTAACAACGTTTTTGTCAGTTTTGAGAATGTTTTTGACGATGAGCTTTCGTAAATTATTCCATAAGTGAACCGCCACATAGGCAAACGATCGTCGGAAGGAACGCGTCCTATGCCTAGGTACGATAAAATTGAGATTATTTCTGCTTCTCTGGGGACCAGCCAAAGGCACAAATCTTTCTCTTAAATAGGGCGGTTGACCTGTTTCTATAACCCTATAGATAAAAGAATACATGTGATATTTTCTGCGATTCTTCATGTTTAATATGTTGTAGTTATTCAGATAAGGAGTGATACGGTTTCGATATGGAATTCCAAACGCAAATCTCATGCAACTATTTTAAACTTATTGTATGCATTTTTTGGTTCGCAACGATAGCGAATCATCGTAGACGACATTTCCATAGTCTTAATGCCAGCCATACACGTACGATATACAATACTTGCGCAAACTTAGACTTGCACAAGTATACTGTAGCGTGTATTGGAAGATTTTTGCGCAAGTGTCTAGACTTGTACAAGTCGCAAGAACGTTGCAATTTTCGATTCCGAGACTTGTGCAAGTTTACGTTTGCGCAAGTTTACTTGAACGTGTGTGGCAACGAGCGTTCGCAGTTAGCGATGTCCTGCTGCTTGGTTGTACACACGCGTTGCGTTGTTCAGCACCAAAGTGAGTGAGACACGTGGAGTTCGATAAAATTTGGAAGAATTTATAAATGTGTACAGAAATGAACCATGCCTCTGGCTTGTCATAAAATGTAGTAGTCTGAAGCACACCCCCGTCTGATATCCTGCCGTTAACACCAAAGCTGCACATTATAAATTGGTACCTAGCATCCACTATTGCAAGAAGTACCATACTGTGTCGACCTTTATAATTATAAAAATAGGAGCCACTTCCACTTGGAGGAATAATGTCTATGTGCTTCCCGTCAATGGCGCCAAGGCAATGTGGAAAATTCCACCTATTTTCAAAATTATTATTATTATTATGATAATTGAGAAGAGCAGAGTACACAGTACTATAAGCTCATGCAGTAAATATAGTGTACTTACACGTAACACAAATACATCAAATAGAAAAAAATAAAAAGAGACAGTTCATAGCTATAAAGTTTGTACACTCCTCCAGCTATCATACTACACTTTGAAGCTATTAACTGAAGTAGCACCAACCACACTTTCAGGTAAACTATTCCAGGTGTTGAATATGCGGTTGGGAAGAAACCACTGTCGGACTGTTGTTTTAAATGGCTCCTTATGCAGTTTGAAGCTGTGTCCGCATAGATTGCTGCGCGACGGACGGTATAGATGCATGAGGTTGGTGCCCATCAAACCATGAAGTATCCTGAACGTAACTATAAGATCGCCACGAAGTCTTCGCTCAGAGAATGAGGTCAGGTTGAATAATTCAAGGCGATCTTCATAGCTTGGTCTTCGTGCTCCAAAAGGGATACGAGTAGCCCGACGCTGTACTGATTCGACGAGATTTCTATCGCGCAGAAGCACAGTGTCCCATACCGGGCCAGCGAATTCAAGAATTGGCCTCACGAATGCCTTGCAAATGTAGGCGCAAGTGTTGACATCGGATCCTTTGAAAGACCTCTTCAGCATGTATAGAAGTTTCTTGGCTTTTGATGTAACGTGTGTGAATATGCTCTGACCAGGAAAGACGATCGTTGACTACAACGCCCAGATCAGTGTGGCTGGAAACTCCTTCGATGTTGTGGTCAGAGATCTTGTATGTAAATCGCGGATTTGTCTTCTCGAGGTGAAGGACACAACACTTAGTTAGATTTAAGGGTAACAGCCAACTGACTGACCATTGACAAACAATATCAAGATCTCGTTGAAGCATAGCAGAATTTACGACAGTATTGTAAATCTTGGTGTCGTCGCCATAAGCTGAACATGTGGAGGAAATCAATGCGGGCAGGTCACTTGTATACAGAAGGAACAGCACTGGCCCCAAGACAGAGCCTTGAGGAACTCCACTTGCTACATGATGAAGGTGAGACTGACTATCACTGACGCGCACAGAGAAAGTCCTCCCGGTGAGAAAAGCCTTAATCCACAGTAACAACTCGCCTCTTATTCCCATACATGTTTTGCTATATTTTTCCATTCATCTTCTGTTTGTGGAAACTGAAAGCAAAGAAAGTAAAATAACAATTATTGTTCCAGGAAACCATACAAGCTTCAATGAACAGCGATGTTTTGCCATCACAAGATAGAGATGATAATTCTCCGGAAACAGCTAGTACCTCTACACAAATATCAAGTCGCCCTAGACCACCTAAAAGAAAAAGTAACAGTAATGCTCATTAATTAGATTCACCAGATTTATCTACCGACGTATTGCAAGTCGTAAAAGAGCATTTCAAGCGTCCTTTGTTGAGCGAAGACCGATTTGATATTTTTGGCAAAAATGTCGCAATGAATGATGATCTACCAATACAGCAAAGGCTGATTGCTGAAAAAATTATAAACGACTCATTATTTCAAGCAGAAATGGGCAACTTGAGACTGCCACATGGAGAGTTCAATGTACGTGAGTTCTATCGCACAACTCCCAGTCCTCCAACATATCAGCCACAACAGTTTATTCGTGCAACTCCAACTCCCAGTCATCCAGCACACCGACCACAACAGTTCATTCGTGAAATCCCAACTCCAAGTCCTCCAATACACCACTCACAACAGTTTAACCAAGGAACCCCAATTCTAAGTCCTCCAACACAACACTCACAGCAGTTCATGCATTGCCTCGCATCGAGAAAGAATGTAATGATTCTTCCACGCCTTCCATGCAGTACAATTCGGATTCACAACATTCGACTGAACATGCTGAAGTGCAATTATCTATTCCAGAACAATCAGCCGGGGCATTTATATCCAGCTTCAATGATTGTCAATAAATGTTCAAGAATTAAAAACCTTTTACTCACCTTAAAATAATCCTTCCGCAGTACTTTGTATATCGCTTCACATGTTTCTGGAATAATAACACCCAACGCCTGGGGTGATACTATTGTTGTAAACTTTAGGTCTTCGTAACTCCTTCCAGTTGCAAGAAACCTCAAAGTTGCTGTCAATCTTTCGTGTGGCGATATAGCTTTTCGCATTACAGTATCTTGCTTTTTAATAAGTGGAGTAACCATCGATAGAAGCTTCAAGTAAGTTTCTTCGTTCATACGCAGGTAGTTATGCCAGTCTTTGGGTGCAAATTTCAATTCGTTCACTAAATTGATGTGTGAATAATGTTCTCTTTTCATTAACCAGTCCTTACACCATATAGCTCGATGCCTTTTAGATCTTTTCAGTTTTTTGTAGCAACTATCAAGCCAACTATCGCCATAGCATCATCAACATCGTCGCAACACAACTCGCCTGCTCCATGACTTTCTCAAAAATGATCGGTCAAGTATACTTGCGCTGTGTGTGCTCGAGATAGGATGATGTGTGTTTGCGCAAGTCTAAGCTTGCGCAAGTATATCGTTACGTGTATGGCTGGCATAAGAGATAAAATTAAGGTATTACACAAATAATATTTTTGTTTGGCTGATAAATGTTTTTTAATTTGTTTATATTTTTTAGTCGCATGTAAGCTAAACTTGTTCTGTTTTTTATATGACTGCCGAAGCCAAGCGAGCTATCAAATATAATGCCTAGATTTTTTGTCTCCTGAACTATGGGGATTCTGTCATTGTTAATAAAAATTACTAAATTTTGTTCAAAATATTCTCTTTCATTACTGTTTTTATTCATAACCATTACTTGCGATTTTGAGGGGCTTAGTTTAAGATTGTGATGCTTTGCATATCTGTCAATTCTTTGGAGATCTGAATTTAGTTGTTGTTGTGCAATATGGATTGTGGTTTTATTGACAGGAAGATATATTTGTGAATCATCTGCATATTGTTTTATCTTTGCGAATTCTACCGATTTGACCATGTTAGGTATGTAGATTGAAAATAGCAAAGGAGATAAAATTGTTCCTTGATGAACTCCTCTTTTTATAGGTTTACAATCGGATGTGTAAATAGCGGAATCATTTGCTAACGTAACACAGTTTGCTTGAGTATGGTTTTATTAGATTTACGGAGTTCTGCGAAAACCCCTGGTAATGTCACTTAGCTAGTAACGTTTCATGATTCAGAGTGTGGAACGCTTCACTAAAATCGAGAAGAACCATGCAGGTACTATTTGTTTGTTCTTGATGATGTCTGATATCATCCAAGGTATTAACTAATGATGTACTCGTGCTCAAGTTTTTCCTAAAACGGATTGACTATCGGGTACGATATCGTTTGTGTCACAAAAAAATCTAATTTGATCATAAATATGCCTTTCTAAAATTTTGGATGTAGTGGGTAATATGCTAATAGGCCTGTAAATTCTTTAGGTTCTGCTATTTTTGGTAAGGGTTTAGCAATAGCTTTCTTCTATATTTGTAGAATGTAATATAATAGCACATTTTCGCTCCAAGTGTGTACCCAGAGGGCAAGCATTTTTATAGTCCGTTTTTAAAAATAGGCATAATATGGGTGGACGGTGAGACAGATGGCACTGGAGCCCTCATGAAAAGGTATACAACCTAAAGGGTAATGAAATTAAGGAGATAAGAGGTTATGCTATTGTATCAAGTAACCAAATAGGTTCGTGCGGTTTTTAGTAGAAAAATATAAATTTTTATTGAGAAACAATAAGACACTATTTATTCATCGAAGTAATTACCATCATATTCAATGACCTTTTGCCAACTTGGAACCAATTTTTGTATGCCATGTTGTAGAACTCCCTGGATTTGGAGTCAACAAATTTTTGGACTGCATTTATTACAACATCTCGAGTTATGAACAGTCAGTGCCTCATACAGTTGTCAAGAGACAAAAAAAGGTGATAATCACTGAGCGAAATGTCGGGAGAATGTAGCGGGTACGGTAACGTTTCCCAGCCGAGTTCAAAATTTTTTCTCGGGTCACTTTTGCGGCATGAGGCTTGGCGTTATCCTGCAAGTATATCACTTTCTTCCGATTGATCAAAGAAGGCTGTTTCTGGATGAAGCTGCTCACAATACAAGTTAGCAGTGATGGTTTGACCCCTTTCCAAAAACTCATAATAGACCCATTACTGTTGCTGTCCACCAAACACACAAAAAAACCATGTTTGGGTGCAAGAAAACCTTGGGCGTGTGTGGTACCGAATCAGTAGGCGACAACCGATGATATGAACGCTTAGAATTCAAATTCAAGATCAATTTTTCGTCGCAAGTTAATAACCGATTAGGAAATGGTTCACTAGTGTTGCGTGAAATGTTTCCTGATCAAATTGTAAGACGACTTAATTTATTATCATTTGTCACTTCATGTGAGACCCATTTGCTTAACCTCCAAGTCTTTCCTTGCTGATGAAGATGCAAACGAGTAGTCTCAGGACTCACTCTGAACATTTCTGCAAGTTGTGAGAAAATAAGAATTCATTCTAAAGTGAAAATAGGTAACAAACAATCGCTATCGATAAACAACATCCATGGCAATGTACAATATACAGCAACGCACGAACTGATTTGGTTACCTGATACTTGCGCAGTAGTTGCAATGTCTAACGGAGGACATACTCTCCAGCCACAGGAGTTGAGCTAGGGTATTGTACCTCGTGATGAAGAGGGAATCAAGGATCACCAATGGGTTAAGGATCACCTCGAGCAATAGGTGTAAGTTGCTAGTCAGGAAGCTAACAGTTTTGGATTCGACTGATGGTGGAGGTGTGCTAGTCTGCGGCAACACCGGCAGTACGCATATCAATAAAGTGCAACATCAGGAGTTGGAGGTGGAAGTACCAATTTCGGAAAAACAAAATTGATTCAAAATTGGTGATGCGAACAAGAACTGCGAGAGCTGAGCCATCCAAAAAGGAAAGTTAGTTTTGTAGACCTGAAAGCCTGTTTGTGCCAGAGAAAAGCTTGGGAGTTGAAAGTATACGTCTAACAAAACTCCAGTACTTACATAGTAGGACGAAATAAATCTAATCTGTACTGTACACTAGAAGCAACTACTACTAGATTACCCCCGGTATATGTACATATGCATATAAGTCCACTCGTATACTGTATAGCTGCGCAATAGCAATGAGTCGGGTACAATCTGTGTGAAGCATAATCCACAAATAAAAATGTTCGCTTCGTTCAATTTTAGGGAAAGAAAACGTTTTTCTAAGCTTGAGGAACAAATTTACATGGGATTCTATGATGTGTGCAATATATCTAAGAGGTGGAGGGGTTCAAGGTGGATTATTATACTAACATAAAAAAATGCATCTCTTCTCTCTCGCCCCCCAAAACCCATTAACACCGTTCCCGTTTACCACTAAAGATATTCAGGATACCCTGGACCGTGAAGAAACGAGGTTAGATGATTTATATTTTTTTTGTTCTTGGAATTTTCCTACGCCCTCACTGGACCAATTTTCAAGAACTTGTGTGAAACTTTCATCCAAAGCCGAGCAGTACCTTCCAAGTTATAGTAGGGCCAAGGACAAACCGACAAAGAGACAGATCAACGAAAGTGGATGACATGGTTGTCCATGATGTATTGTCGTATAGTATTTAAAAAATATAATATCTCTTTTTGAGATTCGTCGTAATTACAGAACTACCTCGCTCAGTGGCGTAGTAAGTAAAAGACATAAAGAATGTTTTCTCATAGTTTACGGTTAATAGTTTATAAGCAAAATAATCAGAAATGTTTCCTAGTTCCTAACCTGCTTTAGTTTCTATATTTTTCCAATCACTGTCACCATACAGGACTGCCACATCATCTGCAATGCTCAGTACTTGACCACATGAAGACGAAGCTAGAATGCTGTTCATTTACATTGAGGACAAGGTTTATTCCAATACAGTACCTTGTGGTGAATTATTGTCAATCGTTTTTCCATTACTGGGTCACCAATATTTGCTTACTTCCGATTTGAGAGATAGCCTTCAAAAACTGTAATGGTCCACCTCGTACTGCTACATCACCTCCAACATCTGCTGGTAATTTAGTTTCAAAAGCCTTGGCAAGATGCAAAAAAACCAAATTAGATTATTAGTCGGCATTCCCTCTCAAAAACCGAATTGGTTATCTGCATTTTTCCAAAAATTTAAGAAGGACTTGCTAGGGCTCTAAATGAGGGGTAAGTGGAATGCTGAGTCTAACAATTTAATCCTAGCTACTAGCCTTAAGCACTGAGTAGTTCTTATTTTCTTTCTAGCTTTACCAGTAGATATCTAAATTAAAAGTAAATTCATGAGGAACATGTGTGGTAATTTACGGAATGAGCCTCATTTTTTTTTAAGTTTTAATAGCCATTCAGAAACGTATTGAGATATACACACAAATATTTATTTTGTAATGCATCCAATATTTTTTGAGTCGTACTGCTTCAAAAATACTAGAAAAATCACGAGAGTTTTAGAAGTTGCCAATGAATTAAAATTGGCTATAGGAGGATTAATTCTTTTGATTTGAAGTTATATAATAAAAATCCATGTGAGGATATGAACAAAATCGGAAATAGGGTTGTTCACCTATGTCTAGTTTATGAAGACTGAAAGAATGCATGGCTGATGGTATTATAAAACACTTGATTATCTGAAAATCTGAAAGCCTACGTAGGAAATTCTGTTTCCGTCTTTTGAAATATACTAAGTGACATATAAATCCGAACACCCAGTTTAAATGGTTTTATTTCAATAAAATTTGGTATAAGTACTTAATGAAGCATAATAAGTAAATGATAAACATTTCAAAATGATTGCACTGCTTTAAAGCACTTTAACCTTTAATAATGTGTGGATGCACCCTGATGCGCTACGCATTCTCCAACGCGCCTAGGCATGCTTCTGATCAGGTGGTCAATGTCCTCCTGTGGTATCTCATTCCAGGCAACCACCAACTCCTCTCGAAATGCTT